GGCACAGGAAGAGCATTTAAGTAAAATGCATACGTTCTTCTTAATTTAAGGAAGAAAACTAAGGATTAAACATCATTATGAGGGAATGAGAAATCCAGCTGGATTTGGAACGGATATGGCCATTGACCAGCATTAGAGACAAGTCCTGGGAAAGCACTTGGTGTGTCTACAGCAATGTCCAAACCCGCTCTGCTGCTCACTCGGCTCCCAGTAAACAACCTTTACAAGTATCGGCACAAACAATTTCACAATGACAAACACACCTTTAACTGCAATTTATTGCTCTTTTTTAAAGCCTTTTACTGCCGCTTAGTGTGGAGTCAAATACCTTTTAGACGGCTGGTCACAAGGGCTGACGCAGTACGTGACCGTAACAGTGGGACTTATGGGAAATGCTGCAACAGCAATGAGATTCATTGCTGCTGTGTTACCTGCTGCTTTCAACATGGAGGACAAAGGGCATCAAAATGCCCCTGTCCTGTTTTTCCTCCTATAGCCCAAGTCAGTGCTGTGAGATTTCAACAGTATGCAAAAGGCCCCTGATTTTTCCAGTGCAGCAGGGAGGGCTGGCCAGGGCGAGCAGCGGTGCATGGCAGGGACACAGAAAGGCTGCACGTATGAGTCTCCCTTTTGAATGATCCCTCAAATCTGCATTTTTCTGCTCTGTTCACTGGACCTGCCTCTCCTAGGCTGGCTGCCGGGAGTATTTCTGTGGGTGAGGGGCTTTTGTCAGCGCAATTGGCAGAGCACCATAGCAGCAAATGTGTGCCTCCCACATCCTTTCCTGTCAAGCAACAGAATTAGCATTTTTTCCAAAGTTAATCAAAAATCCACCCACAAAACTGCCTGTGGGCCCTTGCTGACTGCTTCCCTAGCTTTCCACAGCAGCCAGGAGCAAGAGCAGATTTCTGTGCAGTGTTGGTGTAGTTTTTCTTCCTTTCCCCACATCTGGCTGAACCACTTGCATCCTCCTTACAAGAAACATGCCACTTCTACCTTATTCTCTTGGACAGAGAGCAATTCCCCTTGGCAAAAAACATCCAGTATGTTCAAAATTTGCAATTTGGGATAGCTAAAAGTAATCTAAATAGTCTGAGAAATAAGCTGCATTTATTTAGGCATCCTACAGGGAGTTAGGTACCGAACAAAGAGGCATCTGCATTTGAAAGTGGGCTTAAGGGCATGTGAAGACCCCTCTCACATCCGAGAGGAGCGACAAACCCCACTCCACTGCCAGAGGGTGCTTCGTTTATGGCAGAGATGGAAGCAGACAGAGAGGATCCTGGTGGCAGCTCTAACGGAGGCAAGCTGCACAGAAACAGGTCACATCCCTGCCGTGGCCGGGCAAGCCCATTGATATTGGGATGTGGTAGTAAATAATTGCAGTAAAATTACTGTCCTAAATTGTGGCAAAACACACTGCACCCATCCCTTCTGTCCTAGTGGAGCTGGGAGCCGGTGGGGCTTAGGTGAAGACGGAAGCATTGCAGCACGGGGAGCGGCTGGGCTGCTGGAGACCCGGGGGCTGAATCACCCCGGGCTGCACCCGCTGGCTCTGCAAAGACTTCCTGGATCACTGCGTGGGAAAGCACCTGCGCTCACCCTGGTACTGACACCTGCCTAAATCCTCCCCTGCCTGCTGAGCGGGGCATCCTAGGACACCCAGAGAAGGTGCTGCAGGTCAGGAGAGACCCTTTTCCTCCTCCTGTGGAATATGCATTGGCTCCATGACTCCTTTCTTACCAAAGCTAAAAGGAAGGTCAGGCTGCAATGGACACATTCTCATAAGAAAGTTCCCAATGTTTACCTGCTCTGGCAGAGAGAAAATTTCACTGCAATAAAGTTCTTTCTTTTGGAAAAGGCCAAGTTTTGCAGTCCTCACTCAATAAATCCTGCTGGGTTTACCGAGACCCTTTCACTCCAGATACAGCATTAAGAAGAATTTGAAGACCATTAAGAAATGAAAATTAATTACTTGCCAACTTTTGTGTGATCTCAATTAGGAACAGTCCTATCTCATTTCCACTCAAATCCCTTGCAATTTGCAATTTGCTGTGAGATACAGACCAGGAGTTTTGTTCATACAGTCCATGTTACTCTTTATATATAAGGATTGATCTGCAATTGTGAATTGGAATTTCCTACTTTGTCCTTTGTACTTGGCACACACAGAGGAACATTTCCCAGTCTTTGAACTAACCAAGCAATTAAACATATTTACCTATAAGCATGTGCCTAAACTCTTCCCTATCTGGCAAAATGCTGGCCCATGGTTAAATCCTGCCATCATTGCTGGGACACTCTTCCTTTTTGCTAAGCTGCTTTAGTAAATAGGGGGAGAGCCCAGTGCTTGTCTCTATGCTTTGGATTTAGATTTAGCATGAATTCCATCCCTTTCTTTTGTAACACATACAAAACCCTCCTCCATACCATGGGAAAGGTAGCCCTTTCTGTCCTAGGCACTCTCAAAAACAGAGGCAACTCACCCACACAGAAACGACCCTGCCAATGTCCTCTTTGAAGGATCCCACAGCACAGCAGAGCCAAGCCCTTAATTCGCATCATCCAGTGGATCCTGTGTAATTAAGATATTGGCTGCTAACAAAAGGGAGAACAACATCATTCACAGACTGGAAACACTGATCAGCGTGTCAGGGAACAGGACATTGTAACTAGAGTTTTCCTTAAATATAGCTCCTTAGGCAGCTGTACTTCCCATGAGCATCCATTCATTTCCTCCCTACAGTTAAGATAAGCCATGTACTACCACCTGCAACGTTGATTATGGATCAGACAGACATGAAGTTGCATGCATCGTCACCATAAGATCATGTAAGTGCAAAGCATACTGCCCTAGGCATCCATAAAGTCCTGTTTTTCTGCAAGCCCACACTGCTGTTTCTACATAGTAGATAAGGTGTGAGGCATAAAAAGACACTGTGTTTGTGTGCTATAGCTGGTGCACCAAACTATGTGTTCTCAAGCACATTTGTGGGGCCTTTCCTGCCCTGCAGTTTTGAGAAAACAGAAGTAAAGGTGAGCAGGAACCAGAAACCTCTTAGCCCACGCAGCTGAGGACCGCCTAGCGCTAGCTGCCCTTCCTCTGGATAGCTGCTGCTCACTTTTGTTAGGGAATACAATAGCCTTCGAAGTGCTGGAAAAGGATCTGGGGACTCACAGCATCTGTAGGACGCAAGTACTACTACCTGCTCCCTGGTGGAGGGCTCCTCATCACCCCAGGTTTGCCTCTGGTGAGCAACCACACAACACATCAGCACCTGAACTGCTGATCTCACTGGAGGTTAGGTATTTTGGGGGACGCATCCCATGGTCCTCAGTGCTTCAGTGAGCTGAGCTACCTTATGAACTTACTTGTAGGCACAGTGTCTTTTCGAGCACTGTGGAGGAGAAGGCAATATCAGAGGGTATGTGCCCTTCAGTGAAACTAGCCTAGGCATGCACTACAGAGATGGTGGGTTAATGGCCAAGGAATTGTGCTATTTGTTATCCTCATACAAGCAGCCACCTTTAATTAAAAGCACAGTCACATTCAGGGGAAGGATCCGTATCCAGACCCTGTATCTGAACAGGGTTTGGATGACTCAGGTTGACACTGCAGTAAACATAAGCACTTCATTAGGAAGATGTCTTTCAACACCCAGCTCAGGTCAGAATACAGACCGTGAGCTTTCAATCTGATCTTTGGTGAGAAATGTAATAACTTACATGCTTCAGCTTCTGCCGAGGTGATTAATATGAATTAACATACCTAGGTGAGGAAACCCGCCTGGTCTGAATCACTCGAAACTAGGATGTAAGAAAGCAAAACACTTCAACGTAAGCCATCTTTGTCCGCTAGATTGAAAGCATCACGTTTTTCTCTTCCTTAAATGCAACTGACTGCAGTGAGCCTTATTTCGCAATGTACTGAAAGCCTCCACAGTTCCTACTGAAGTCAAGGTGGGCTGTGGAGGTTTGAAAACTGTGTCACATCTGCAGTGCCCGGAATTCATGTTCCACCTGCCCAACCAGGGCTATAGCATTATTGCTCCTTCCCAGATTCTTTGTAAAGAGCATGCTGAATTCCCAGCTCATGTTTTTCTTCCCTGTGAGCAACTATTTAACATTATATTGCTGTTTCTACAGGCATTTAAATCCCTGCAGGGAAACAGAGCCCCGTAAGATCCTATACGGAAGCACTATGATGACGTGTAGTGGCATCACTTCTGAACAACACTGGTTGACAAAACAACATGCTTAGACTCTTCCCTACATACAGGAAGTTTTCAAAGCAGTGGACAGGATCAATTGTGCCTTTTTTTCAGCTAGAATTGCAGTGGCATGACTCACTTTCCGATACTCCTTGGAGACAATCAACGCATTAATTCAGCCAACATCGCCAGGCCCCAGGCTTCAGCAAGGACCCAGGCATCTGGAGAACTTCTACCAGTAAGAAGGTGAGGGCCAGAGGACCAGCCAGCTTCCCTGACGTGTACGAAGCAGAAAGCAATGCAGCAATGGAAAAAGGAGTGGACAAACTTGCCCTACCAAAAGGAGATGCACAGTGAATCTTTGCATGAAGGCTGACTAAGAAGACAAGCACAGTCAACAGTGAACAAGACCTGTAAACAAAACACTCCCTAGTGGTATTCAATGCAGAGTGCTGGGCACAGTTCATCTGCCTGTACTGATCCATGCTTGCCATGTAGCGTAAAGAGTGAAGCAGCAGCACAGAACAAATCCAGAGTACGTGTTAACTTCCGTCTGGGTCTTTTAGTGGTGTGCACCTTGAGCCGTTCCCTCCTCCTCCTTCTTCTCTCTGCTGCTCAGCAAGTGTAACCATTCCTCGAGGTGGCACCGCTCAGCATGGAGTTCAAAGTCCTTCCTGTTAAATGGGAAGAGTAAGACTGATGTGGGCCGAACTGCCCACGAGACAGATTGTACCCAGGGATCAAGGGCCACAAAACTGTGTCAATCTTCCACTCCCTCTCCACTCCTTGCTAAAAATAGTCTCTTCTTCTGGTTTCATCACTAATGAAGGATGGATTGTATTGTCCAGGGTAGATGCATGAATGTCGAGATCCAGGCAAACCAGTGTAGGGAGGATAAAGTCCGTTTCTTTCCAGTTCAGGATTTCTCAGTCCAGTTGGCTGTATTAGCAAAAAAAAATTAAATAAAAAGGGTCTTAGTCTCACACTCAAATGCTCCTTCAGGCACAGTCTTACCACCCTTCCCAGCAGTTATTTCAGTACCTAGAAGGAACAACGTGATCGCTAATGATCTCTATAACCTAGAATGATTTTTACTGTAGGAGTTATGCATTGCCTGAAGGGATTATTCTGATGCAATCCAGTTTTGACATCTTACCAATTAGCAGACTTGAAGTTTATCTGACTCCACCAAGTACAGTCTAAGTGCACAGTTAATTTTTAATCCAAGAGAATTGTGCTGATGAGCTCAGGCACTGAAACAACTCTCACGAAAAGGATATTGTCCCAGACCCATCCTTAAAGGAAATGCTTCTAGAAAATCAAAGTCAGGCTCCTGCTTTGAGTATTACCTGGGAGCACTTCTCTCCCCATTAACCATAGGTACCTTCTCCCCCAACACAGGCACTTGAAATACAAAGTGATCTGACTTTCCTTTCTCTTCCCTTCTCTTATTTTAGAAAATGTCCTGGGGACACTTGGTTGAGGAAATTTGATGTCTAAGACCAAGACTGTACAATCCTTTTACCCAGTAAACAACATGTGACCCAGAGACCACCTGGTTTCATCTGTTGCAGAGCAGATCCATGCAAAGCCCTCATCACCTGCTCCTTGCTAAAAAGCTCCCCTTTCTAGTCACCAGCATAATAGAAGTCTGAAAAAATGTTTAGGAAATGCATTTTAATTTCCCAATCTCTCATTCTTACTGGAAGCAGGAAGGAAGATTATTTCCCTTCATCCTGTGCAACCCAATAAACTTGCTTACTGGAAAACTTAAAATACAAGCCAGAAAAATATTGCTCACTGCCCTCTGCTCTGGAAAGCAGGAATCCAGAATGTGTGACTTGGCTGAAATTCTGCAACCTTCACTCACATGAGTAACCCCCACACATCTTAAGTACATCCAGTGTATTGCTGTAGATTAGTGACAGATGATACAGCAGCATCACAGCTCTGGACACAGACATTAGCAGGTGGTACCAACCATGACAGCAGGTCTTGTGCTTGCGTCTTTCTCTGCTCTACACAGCCTATTACTCCTCCACCACTTCCTCCCTACCGCTTGTTCCCCCAGAGCTGGAGGGATGCGCCAGCATCTTCCCAACCTGGGGTGAAGTTCCCCAGGCAGAGGTCTCAACCTTCCAGCATCATCAGTGAGGGCAGAAGGGAGAAAACTACCCACAGGAATTCCTAGCAGCCTGTCCAAAACCTTTAACTCTCCTTGTCTACTCTAGGATTGGGCTTTTTAGGCATCTACCAAAATGTTCCTATACACTTCCCTAGCACTCTTCCTAATGACATCTCTTTGTGATATTCACCACATGTGTAATAGCTGGAGTCCATAGGACTACCAATGCCTTGCTGTCTATGGAAGCCATTTATTTGCTCGTTTATTTTGCAGGAAAGGGATCTGTCCTTCCAAAAATAAAGGAATGTGTCTTTGCTGTATGAGGCCCAAAGGGTTAATAGCTAAGCTATGGATAGATACCGAATAATACACATCTGTCATCTGCAACAAGTTCTTGGTGCTTCCGTTCTCTTGCATCTCGATGGTCTCTCTGCCCCACTCCTGTGCCCGGGGGTTCTTCGGATATTCAGCATATGGCGACATCTGGAAATCTCCACTCTTGAAAATGAGTTTACTTATGTCATTTTTATTCTTCCTGTTTATAATAGAATGAAGGAAAGTGAAAACATACAACGTATCCTGCTATCTTGTATGCATTTCTGATGTGATGTCAGGAGATTTACTTGAAGCTGTAAACCTTGACTAGGAACAAAGATCACCTCAGAAAGGCTATAGTCCAATCTTCTGCTCCAAGGCAAAATTGGATATGAGGTCAGATCATGCTACTCAGGGTGGAATTTGAAATCTCCAAGGACGGAGATGGCATAACCTCTCTGAGCAACCTGTTCCACTGCCTTACTGTCCTCTTGGTGAAAGAGTTTTTCTCCTACATTCAGTCTGAACCTCTCCTGTTCCAGCTTATGCCCTTTGTCTCTTAAAAATGTGTGTGTTCACCTGAGTCAATGAAAAAATGATGGAAATCCAGGAAGAAAGAAAAATGTATGGGAGCCCCCATGCTATTCAAATCTCCAAGTGCTTAACCACAGCACTTCTAGGCACTATGTTAATTCCTAAGAAGGAAGGCCTGCAAGCTGGCCAGTCTGAATGACACCATATGCCCCTACATGAATACCATGTTGTATGAGTGGACTTTGGTGACACTTCCAGTTCAAAGTAGAGTACCCTCCAGGAAGTCTCATAACCTGCCAAAGGCCAGGACTCATGAGAAGATCAGTCCATCCCTGCAGAGATCTGCACTCTGAGGCCTGGAGGTGTACTGGCCATCATACCTCCTGGCTGGGACTTGCTGGCATCCCCCTGGCTCAAAATATGTGGGAACAAGTGCACACCACTGTGCCAACCAAACCACTGCCTCGCCTGTGTTACTGATAAATCCAGATGCTGACTTTAATCAGAGTGCTTTGAAATCCTAGATTTGGGAGCTGGAATGGGGGGGAGAGGATGTTACTGCAAGCCAGCCCTTTTCATGATGTATAAATCATGAAGCAGAGCTTCCTCAGCAAGCACATCTTGGTTCTAGTCCAAACTTACCTGTTGGTACAGGAACTACGTGTGTACATTATGGGAACTACGTGTACATGCGTGTGTGTGTCTGAGAGGGAGAGACACACAGACTGAGAGCAAATGCAGGAGTTGTCCATAAAGGAAAATGAAAATAGCCTTAAATACACTCAAACACCACTTGAGCAATGGCCCGTAACCCCTCCTGTTACCTAAACTTCTCCTTTCTACTTAGCTTGCATTTTTGGAGACTGCTCCCTGGCTGCCTTACAGCTCTGAGTGAGAAGGACTCCTTTGCCTCTCCATCCTTAGAGGACATGATTGCCAGGTGCATCCTTAAGAGACACTGAGTTGAATTTTTTTAGCCTGGTTGCTGGGAAGAAAAAAAAAAAAAAAAAAAAAAAAAAGACATGCCCCAAAAGAAAGCACAATGTAATACTTCAGTATCTCTGATTACCCCACCTCCTTAGCTTTCCTATATGTTCACCTATGTTTTGGTCCTTCAGGGTTCACGTGTGGAGCACTAAGTGTGGTGTAACCCACTGAGAGGATGCCACGTGAGCCGTGGCCGGTGGTGGTACCTACCGGCAGCAGGTGACAATCAGGGCTATGCCCATGATAAGCAGAAGTCCCCCTCCTGCAGCCGCGATCACCACAGTGATGAGCTGATATGCTACAAACGGGAGAGAGAGAGACTTACTTAGAAACAGCGATGTGGTTGTATATGCTAATGTAAACATATCTACAGGCCTCATGCAAAAGGATTAACTGTTTATTTCCCATTTTAACTCACTCTGTAAGCCATATTGCCTTAAATTGTCAAGTGAAATGGATGGAGTTGGGGA